CCCCGCAGGCGATATGCACAAAATCTTCAATGAGTTATAACCAAATTTCAAAGTTTGAAAAGTGATTGGGCGCTTTTTGCTAAGGTACGGTCACACACCGTAGAACTCACTCACAAAAGAAAAAAATTATAATACATACAGGGTAGTAATTTTTGAAGGCTTTTGAAACGCAGGTACTTCCTCGAGGTTGTTATCTTGCAGGCGCCTGTGAAATCAAATCACGAGATTTAGCGATTCATAAAGGTTTGGTTCCTCTTATGCGATTTAATGATCTTAATCGGGTTGCGCTGTTATGATCTAAACGGGCAACATAGGTATAAAAAGCTCCTCCGGTGTTATAACCATCTTAAAATGTCACGAGCTGCAAATTACCAGTACCAAGACTTTCATTGGTTAGAATTCAAATGAATGAACGATACTATTGGTTATAATGTTTGCGTTTACAAAGCAAGATTTTATATTCCCAGTCATAGGCATACCCTTCATCACATGCCTAAAAAGGTACGAATGGCGCTTAGAATTACGATCTTCGTTCTTGTAACGCTTTTGTGAACTAGGCCCAAATAGTTGATCAAACGCACTCTCAAGGAGCTCAAGAATCGGTGACGAAAAAAATTTTCAGAGAAACTGGGCAAATGTTCACCTTTTACCACGAATTTAAGCTTGTTTGAAGGCCTTTCATTAAAGCTGAAATGTTTTAATTTTTTGCTTCAAATGCATGCCGTTAAAGTCTTAAATGAATCCCTTAAAGCGCTCGACGATTGACTAATAAGTGGGCAAAGTTAAGGAAACCGGAGCTACAATTCAAAGCTTACTTTTTCTACGAAATCGCTGTAACAATAACAACAGTTGATCTGAGCAAGAACGGCAGCGTTAAAAAAAAGGAGTTTGAAAGCAAGGTGATACTTACAAATCAATCAAATCAAGCCCGTCGAAGGCACCAGGAGCGATGTACTTGAGGCCATTGTTTTGCATATATCTATTTCAAACAAGAAAACAAACCTTTCTTGGTCAAATCTGCACGAGCATTAAAACGTTATGAGAATTTTTCAATAAATTTTGTACTCACAATTTCTTCAGCTTCTTGAGCTTGGAAAACGAGTTCTTTTCAATTCTCGTGATTGAATTGTGGTTCAAATGTCTGAAATTATCAATGGTTTAATATTTTCAGTGGTGAAATTACTATCATTATTATACATTCAACTCACTATCTCTTTTCTGATTGGCCGAAAGCGTATAGTGAATTTTCGAAATCAGCGCTTAGGACGTCATCTAGCCGCAGATTATACAATAATCATGTCAAGGACACTGAAGGTCCTTGATTTCTCAGGGTCATCACTTCAAGTTCACGCGTTTTGTGTTTCCTGCTGATTTGTATATTTTTACACGTTTAGAAATAAATTATCAGTCCACTTACTATCGTGACCAATTTTTTTTCGCTCAGTGTATAATAAAACAGTTATTATATTCGGTTTTTTGTGATATCCAGAATAATCAAGGTCTCTGTCAAGGTTATCAGCGTCAGGCATCGGCTTCGGTAGATAACCCCTGCCTCGACCTTGATTATTCTGGATATCACAAAAATCTCTTCCAATAATTGCTTAATATTAGGTTTGAGTACTATGGGTTTTTCAATATTCAGTCAGCTGAACGCTAATGATTGGTTTTGTTTCAATATTTTGGAGCTCCTAAGGCACCAGTGGCAAAGTCTATGAGGCCATTGTTGTTCATAAATCTATTTGAAACAAGAAAACAAACCTTGGCAATGCTTAAAACTTTATGAGTAGTTTCCCTTAAATTTGTACTCACAAGTCCGTCAGCGTCTTGAGTCCGGAAAACGAGCTCTCTTCAATCTTCGTGATTGAATTACTGCTCAGATATCTGCAATTGTTAATGGATATTTTTTCAGTCATTTTTTTTTTAATATTCGGCCAGCTGGACTTTAATGATTGGATTTATCTTAATATTTTGGAGCTCGAAGACAAGGAGATCGGACCGTGTATGTAGTTTTGCCCAAACTTCCCAAAATTAAATAATATTTTAATCGAGCGTTGAAACTGATCTGAGATAGCATTATTTTGCTTTTCTTTATTTCACTATGTGATTGGTCGAAACTTATGCCACTCACTCCCACTACCTCCCACAACCTCCCCTCCCATCCCTCCCGCGACCAATACAGAGTAAAACTGAAAGGTAATCAAGCGCAGTCACTCCAGTGTTCCCGCGCTTTACCGATAGCTACCTCTGTTCTGATTGGTTATTGCGATCTCTTTGGTTTTGTTTTTACGTCATCTGTTTGAAAAGCGCTAACAAGCAAGACACAGGAATGTTACTTACAAACGTTTCATTGAATGAAGTCCTTTAAAAGCTCCAGCAGAAATATTTCTTAGTTTGTTGTATTCAAGATTCCTGAATGACAAAATAATTCCAAGTTTGCATAATAATAATCCATATTGGTATATAACAAAAAACTAAATAGTGCTTTTCACGCTTGGAGATTGGCTAGTTCGGAAGTGATTAGAGCATTCACTTCCGAGAAGGCGGCGAGGCAAACTCGCTTGTCAAGAGTTTAATTGCTAGCCATTTTTCGGTATATTGACAGAAATAAACAGATTCATGGTTTCTGTGTGGGAAAGACTAAAACAAATATTTACCTCAGTGTCAGTGGAAATTATAGATATAAGGAGTTTCAGTCACAAAACGAAAGACAAAGTTATTATTTACAAAAAATAAAATAAAAAAACAGATAAACAACTTACAAGTCTTCTAAAGCGGCATTACCGGAAAATGCTCCTGGAGGAATGTCAGAGATGAGGTTTCCGTCGAGAACTCTGCAATGAGAAATTTAAGAGTTTTCAAGCTGTATTCGTACCTTTTTATATCAACCTTACTATTTGGAAAGATTTGACCTCCCATAAGCATACTGGTTTTCGAACAATGCCGATTCATATGTATTTACATGAAAATAAATAATTGCGAGATGAAATCTATGACGAGAAATCAAATTTTGGACTTAGACAAAATATTCCTCAAAATTCGAAAGGATGTTTAATACAGGTCTCCTTAATTTACTTTGCATTACTTGATATATTGTTCAAGAGGAAAATGAAAAGCTCCTGATTATAATACCACATACGATAAAGGAATTAAGAGATAAGAGAACTGAAAAAAACCTTTTGACAACGGTTAACAAAGTCTCGCCATTAACAAAAGACAATTGTGGTAAATACGTATATACACTTACAGTTCTTTGAGGTTCTCAAAACAAGCAAACGTGGTTGCATTTAAGTGTTCGATTTTGTTATTGGAAAGACGCCTGTGAAATAAAAGTAAAACGAGGGTAACCACTAATACATAGTCTATATATAGCATCAAGAGATGATAATCTTAGAGAGTGAATCTGTCCTCCCTCTAATGCGTCCATCAATTCGAAGCTTCAACATTCCCCCCACGGGCAAACTCCATATTTTTGAAGTTTTTCTTTTGAAGTTTGGTTTGTTCAAATTCCCGCCCCTCCGGGTACAAGATTGTATTCAAATGCCCTGCCCAAGTGCCAGATTTGAAGATCAATTTTTTTTTTGAAAGGCAAAATCAGCGACTGTAACTTTCTCCACATTGACCAAGCTGTAACACCTAAACGTTGTAGACCTTTTCTTTTGAGCCATTCGCTCGCGAAAGTGAACTCTTTACCTGTAAACACCTCCAAACGTAAAGACATAGCACTTGTACTCCGCTAGAAAAACGTTACACTTTCCTAAAATAAATTCTTAGCCAGGCAAGGTTCAAATTTCCCGTCCCCCTTACATTGATCGGTGCATAAACTAGAGGCTGAATAAACTCTTCAACTAATAATTGAATTGTTTACAATCAGTATGTATGAATAAAATTTACTCACACGCTAGTTACATGGTCTGTTGCGTTGTTACATAGCGTCGATACAACAGTAGTGCAGCCTTGGTTAATTTTTTCGCTGAAAATATATTGAAAGGTGCAAAAACATTAAACCATGAAAAAACCCAAAAACATATAATAATTGTATGAGTATAAAGAAAGCAGTTTACGAGAAATATCAACGATGGGTCATGGCGTTACCGTCGGTGTTATATCGTTTCCAATGCTATTATAAATCTCTATTAGACCAGTAAATCTCTATTAGACTAGATCGTAGTTTGACTTCAAAACAAGTAGATTCAGCAGGAAAAGAGCTCTGAGAAAATTTAGCTGTCAACGGCCCCCGCTTCCTAACCTCCCCAACCAGGTTGCAATTGGGCGCTACAAATAACTGCGTTCGAACCTTCAAAGCCACAGGTTAAAAGTATTGTTAAATGTCGGTTTTTTTCTTCTTTGGTTCATCTAAAGCGTGAGTTTAAGAAGCTTCAAGCATTCCCAGTCTTGTAAAAAATAAAGACACTCAATAATAAGCGTTTTGTTATCAAAATTTGCAATTTGCACAGTATTTATTATCTTATGGTCACATTTCCGTGTTTGAAATTCAAGTTTATTTTCCGCATGTTCAATCTGATTTACATTTTGCTGTTCAAGTAAGCTGGTGTCGACGTCGGCGCTTTGAAGTTTAAAGTGTATAAGAAAATTTAGATCCTGTAAGGATTAAGTTCATCAGTCCTTGCACGTAATGGAAGCATGACGTTACATTTCTTTTTAGAGCCAAAATTTTTGTTAAATTTTTTCGTCTTTCTAGTCCCTGATTTATACTTTCGTATTAAAGTACGTTGTTTTCAAGGTCAGCGTTTTTTAACCTAAAACTCCCGCGACCACGACTGAATTTCTCTTTACAATATCGATACGTCATCAAGCAGAAACGTTATGGAAATAAGGAAACAATATCAATTGCAGGATTATTAGTCGATCAGAGACCAATTTCTCAGAAATAACATCGTAAGAATTGCATGGCAGACAGTAAGGAGAATTGCTAATGAGATCTTGGGAATGAAAGGCTTAAGAAGAAAGATAATAAAAAATAGACTCCAGGAAACAATAAGCTTATGTTACGAAAATCCTAACCCTAAATCTCGCTGTCGTTAGATGTGTGAAGAGTGCTAAAAAGGGCGAAATTTATTTTTGATTTAATCGATTCCCTTATTATCAAAGCCCTATAAGTCCCTCATCTGATAAAGTTCCTTAATTAAAAATAAAAAGAGGAGAAAAGAATGAAAAGTAGTGTAGATTGATATCAACGATGGAGAAAGGTACTCGAGAAATTCAAACATGTAACCAACCCACATGATATTAGCTTTGCCATTTTTTTTTTTTTTCACATCGTTTATGTCTCCTAACAAATAGGCTTCCCTTTGGAATTCCCTGTATATTTGGATGTAAAATCAGCTCGAAACCTTCGAAACGCTTCCTGCCGTGTTTAATATTGCTCCACGCACACAGTATTTTTAAATCAAAGAGTTCCTGCCTTGCGAATGGCGCTTATGGCGAATTTTACCTTACAATAAATGACACTGTTTGAACTTTGACTGTGTTCCTATTACCTAACTCATAACACATACACCTTAGATAATAACCCGTTTGCTGCCGGGCGACAGGAACGAATTTGAAATATTCACGCTTGAGAAATGCATGCCTGTCAACATTTAGTCCGTTAGTTGTAAGCAGATGTAAACATTTTTCACTTACACAGCTGTTGAATTCCCTTTAGGCCAAATGTCGCACTCTTTTTCTTCTTTGGCTACGGAGACGCTGAGCAAACACAGCAGCAATATGAAAAACAGTGGCATTTTCTTCTTTGTTGTAATCTTGAATCCCTGTTGAAGACGAAACTCCTAAAAGTAAATACAATTTTTCAGAAATTGTTAAGCCGGCGTTTCATGTAAACGAATTCAAAATGTATGAAATACTTGAGTTTAATGCTCACCCGTATACGTAGCTCTCACTTAAAGCGATAATAAGATCTAGGAAAATTTCATTTTTCTTTGAGAAACAACTTTGTAAATGTAAATGAAACCGGCGTGATCTGAAACGGTGTGAACTAGACTGACATAATCCCTGCTAGCATCATTTGAACGTTGAAGGGTGTCATTGAAATGTATTCACAGTTGATTGACTTAACTACATGCAGGTTCAGAGCGACTCTTTTTAACACAAAAGAAAACTCATTAGCACGTCAAAAACTGAATTAAAGACCAAAAAATATAAGAAAATAAATGAACCCCTTTACCATGGATTATTTCCGAACGAGAGTTCCTAATCAAGATAACTATCAGACGATAAGAGTGTACGAACGTTCGTGTATCACGGGGAATGTTTCCTCTATGCGTTGGAGTCAGTATTCCGTGGTTTCTTTGTTCTATATATTAACATGCAAATTTGGTGCGTGAGTTTAAACAACAGGTATACGATTATTAGGTGTCAAATTGTACGATAGATTTTTTTCATTTCGTCTCCCACAATCTAGTCTTTATGGGTGCTCAGTGAAATCTTTAGGAATTACCTGAATAAAGTACTTCTGCTCTCATCCAATTAGGAAAACGAAAATCTAACTCAAAAGCTGCATGAAAAATCCAAATTTTCCTCTCATTCATCAAAACATCTTCTGTAGGATCAACAAGGAAATACTGGTAATCCTTTGTACACCGAGTATTGATTAACATTTAATTTCTCTTTGCCATCTTAACCCTTTATTATCCGACTAAGGCGGTTCGTGCCGACATCTAAAACCAACCAATTAAAATCGCTGTACTACCTGTCCCGCGAGGGCTTGTATTTTGTTACTTTCAGACCGGGTACTCTGTCGAATTTATCCCGTGCGATTTTGATGAAGGATATTATCCCTATCAAATCAAGATGGCGGTCCTATTGGAAGCTCTTCCTTAGAGTAGATGAATATGCTGCCTGATCATTTCGAAAGAGAAAAATCTCGACCTGAAGGATCACTGAATTGAATCAGAAGATAGTTCTTAAAAAAACCCTTCCGGTTGGCAATTTTCGGAACAGATATTTTAATAACCGATAGACCTTTCTATTCTTCGCTCTGATGAAGGGCTAACGCACAAAAAAGAACAGTTTCAGAAACTCTTTGCGGTGGCCAGTTTTCATTTACCAACTCAGTCGGTAAATTAGAAAGTAGAATCTGTTGACTTCCGAGCGAAGTTTGAAGTAATTCGGAGAGTACTTCAATCTGGTAAATATCATTCTTTCATTCAAGATACGATTTTTAACTCAGACTAACGATAAGATTTTACGATGATTCAAATAACTTTCGTAATTTTGTACGGAAATCTGCAAATTATCTTTCTGTTAAATGAGTTGAATCAGGCCTAAGGCGGGTTCTTGATTGCACGGTTTTTTTTACACGCAAAAATCTCGTTAATGTTTCGCTTCCGTCTGCATCTTGTTTGAATAAAGTTGTAGTCTCAAAATAACTTAAAGAAGCTTTCTTGGCCTTTTTCTGAAGGTTTTGAGCGGGAAGTAAGTGCTGAGTAAATTTCCCAATTTCTTTAAGATCATTGTGTGAAAGGTGCAAAACATTGCCGATATATATATATATATTCAATCTTGATGTCTGAGAAAATTCTTGATAAGAAAATCATTGTTTTCTGAAAGAGTGCTTTGTGATATGATTCTCATCGAATCCTAATTGTTCGAGGAAGCCACAGATCTCAGTTCATTTTACTATTTCAAACTGAGATCTCATTTAAGGTTCAGAGAACCTTTGTCAGCCCAAGAAAATAATTACCTTTGACACTTTCGTAAAACATTACTTAGCACGAGTTGCTTGCCTGTCAAGCCTTACGCTGACAACTATTTAAACGCTTTTATTGGTCTGAAAAAATTCTTAAGAGAAACATTAATTACTTGCATGTCTTTGACATATGACTGAATATACGAGTAGCATGGGTAAATAAAAAAACTCAGCATCAGTGAAATTGTGTTCACTAGAAACAGTAATGTTTTCGCATGTACAAAATTGCAATATCAAATATGTGTCATTTGGACAAGTAAATAGAGTTGTGCTTTAAGATTACAAAGTCTCTCTCTTTACAATACAGATTAAATTCAGGATTCTTGATCAAACTTGACTGAAACGTGTCCGCTAAGAAATGATTAGGAGCTACTTTGACTCAACTTGTGGTAAATTGCACCGTTCGAACTTGAGTAAACCTTCTCTTTGGAAACGAAATGGCAATCCTGAAAAACAGAGTGGGCGATGTGTGATAGAAATTAAATAAAGAGCGAACTTTACAGACTGCTACTATTTAAATTCGATATGACTCTATCTCGAATTATGTATAAATTACAAATAGGCCGGCCTGAAATAAAAAAAAATAAATTTTTTTTTGCGCAAGAAAACAAGCCCTTAGAATGGAGGGCGAATGCATAGAGAAGAGTTTTTTTTAAATGCAGGATATAATACCTATCACATATTAAATTCGTAACAATCCTGTTTTGAAATGCATTATGTTCAAATTACAGGTGACCTTGCAGAGAAAAGTATGACTAGACAGAGTGGAGCCGACATTCATAATCGAACATTCGTGAACAGCAGCAAGGTAAATTTGTAATTGTTCGGCTTTGCAACACGTTATGTTACATTTACAATTAACAAAAATTGAAATTGCTTTGAACAAAGACAAAAACTCATGGTTTGCGTGAACGGAGTCGACATTTGCACGCAAACCTTCTTGAAAAGCATGATTTAGAATCTACTAAAATGTACATTCATTGTTGATGTTTTTTGTAACGGATTATTTCAAATCAAAGATGCTTCGTATAAAAACAAAGCAATGAAACTGTTTTAAGCACCAAAAAAAAATCCTAGCGGTAAAATGATATATAGCAATTTTCACTTTTCACTTATTTCCTGAAGTGTACTTTGTTACATGTTAGTACAGCCAACTTTTTTGGGTTCAAAATTAAAAGTTGGTAAGATGATGATATAGGCGTAATTGTGAGGGAGATCTTGGACAACCACTGTTATATGGAACATAAGTCAGAGATACTGCAATAATATGCAATTTTTACCCTTCTTTTGACAGGGAAATACCACGAAATTTATTGCGCAAAGAATTGAATGGCTTTTGCGTTTGTTAAATCATGCAAAATTGCGCATCGTTTGATTACAAATAATTCCTTGTGTAATATTTATGCAGGGATAAGAAAGAAAATGTGAAACGACTACCTGGTATGGAATAGCGCCTTAACCAACAGAAGGATGGACTGAACTCAACACAGCTTTGAACCTAAAACCGTCGAACTGAGTAGTTTGGTAAAAATGATTGCATTTTCGTTCTTGAATTTGATTGGTGGGACAGTTTGCGTAGATTCTAACGCATTTGTCGGCTCGTAAATTGTAAATCAAATTAACTGCAGCTGGATAAACGAGTTTTGTTCGAGTGAAATAACCATGTTCCATAGAAAAATATTATGAATTTCCTAAACGTGACAAGCGCTTGGCAAACTTCATTTTACAGCTAATCGAGACGTGACTAATTTAGGTATTCCTCAAGAGGTCCTAAATGAAACGACCGGAATTGAAATGTTCAAATTATACTCCAAGGTGAAGTTTTTTTGCACAGAATTTTAACCGTTATGTGAGACAAGACAAAACAATGACATCCTTTTGCTTTGGATCGTTAAAGCGGACTCATTTTACAAATGATCTTGGAAAACAAACCCTTGAAACCATTTTCATGTGTAACACCTTTCAGTCATAATATCCCGCCTTCGAATTTTGTTTTCCGGTTTTCAGACGTCTTAGGAAAATAATGCAAATAGACTTGGCCAAGAATTTTACCAAAAACGAAAACACGGAAATTGTGAATGCAAAGTTTGTCTTCCGCAACATTGGATTACTGACGTTTGTCTTCAAGGCTGGCAGACTTCTTTAAATTCTGTTTACCTTTGGGCAGGTTTGGTAGAAGAAAATTTGAGAAATAAGAAATTTGAATCTGATTCGTGACACCACAATTGTCAGGTCAATTAATTAAGCCATTTTCACAAAATAGTTTCGAATTAAAATTGTAGGCAAGCTTTTACAAATATTCTTATTGCTTTTAGAGTGCAATTTAGCTGATTGACATTCAACCAAGGCTAAAGGAAGTACAACAGCCGATCGAAAATGAGAGTAAATATCTGAAGACGCCACTGAGAGAGAACTCAGAGAAAATACATGAACTGTAGCAGGCGCTGAGAGCAGGTGACCAAACTTTGCACCTGATTGGTTGAGAGGATGACGCAAATTTTCTGGACCAATCACAGCGTAGAGAAAACAAGACTCAGGGAGTTACTTCCGGCGACTCCGTCCAGCATAATTCAGAAGAACTTTACGCTTCAGATAATTCCATATCACTATATTCTGAGAGTTTAACTATTTTACTTTGCATGATGAAAGCTCCGTTTGTTGGAAGCCAGAAACTACACGAATTCTTGATTGCGTAGAGTTTTTAAAGCTGACGTTTCAGGCGTTTATCCTCCGTCATTCGCTGTGACACAAGGCTAACATTCAAAACATCAGTTTAAAAATCTCCTTACGGAGGCTATTTCACACTATCAACTCAGTCTATAAAACTGAACCAAATTTTGTTTTAACAATCCCACCGACGCAGCGCCACAGTTTGTTTTAAGAAGCTTACCCTTACCTAGGGTTCGCAATACATTAAGTAACTTTTTTGTTTTTTAAAGGCATTATATAATGTTACCTGGGGTTTTGTTTCCAAGTAGTGAGTTTCCAAACAAATGCAATAGCCAAAAAGGCTGCTTTCTCGAATAAACCACAATCAAGAAAACAAAAGTAATCCACCGTCATTAAATAAATTACATTTAACAGACTCCCTAATAGCGCTTCTGCGCATGTGAAGTTTTATTGAGACAATTTCAATGTTTTTATTTTGATTTTTAAGAAAACCCTGATCCTTGAGATGCCTTAGGTTGTTATCTCGACAAAACCGCTGGCCGGCAGGCCTAAAGGTTGAATTTTTCCACCCATCAGCATGGTCCTTCATGGCAGTAGAATTAGTGTCACATAAAAGGAAGGTGTTCACCGTAATGAAGAAACAAAACGGAATCAATTAAATCAACCATGCATTGATCATTAGCACCTTTCCTTTAACAACAATAGCTAAAATGGTTTAAAAAGTATTTCCGAGAAGATGTGTTTTTCGCGTCACTTCAAGAGACAGGTGTATTTTTGAGTGTTAAAAATTCTTCTTAATTTGCTTTGGTATTATAATTTTCGTCATCTCCCTTCTTTGTGCAGGCGGCTTAAGGCATAAGATTACGATATTAATGTGGTAAAATAAAATCATTTTATCCAACATTTTCCGAGGCTTGCTTCGATGTCATTGTACAAAAGGAAACGTTGTACTTCTGGTTGAAGCGATATCGACCCTTCACATCCTGCTAACAGTATGCATATTACCCATACTGATCATTACACATTTCCTTTGGTACTGACAAGGAAAATCGTTATCAAAGAACTCCTTAGGCGATATCATTCCCTTTTTTCCCCTTGACCTTATTGTTTGATTCAACGCTGATACTGCAACGAGAAAAGAGTTAAAAAAAAAATCGCAGTTTAAACGTTGTACGTTGTAAAGCATCCA